AAAACACTTTCTCCTATGAATTTGTATACTTGCTGATAGATTTCATGTACGCTGCCAAATTCCTTCTCTATAATATTCAGTTTTCATATGTTAAAAATAAATATGATTATTGATGTTGTATGGTTTACTATTAATTTGCAGAACTGGGATGAATAAAGGTTGTGCTTTTGTTAAATTCAGTAAGCCTAAAGCAGTAGTGGAAATTTATTGTAATATTGTTTTTCTGATATTCTTTGTAAACAACGTAACTAAAAAAACAATTATTTCCACCCCGGTTTTTCTCAAAACTGAGGGGATATGTTAGCGTTAAAGCTGGTGATATTTGTACCGCCCTTAATTAAATCCTTGTCATCTATTTCCATGACTATAAATGCTCAAGACTACCATTAGTGATCCGTGTGAGACCTAGGCTAAATTCCATTATAAAAGCATTCTAAATATCCAAAACGTCATGAAGCGCTTGAAAAAATCCTCCAGTTTAAGATATGCAAGAGTATTTGTTATGAAGTATTCATATGCGAGATTACAAGAGTAAAACATTATTTGCGTTTAAGGTTTGTGTTCTTAAATATTTATATACCTAACTCTTTGTTCATCTAACCCTTTATTTATCTAACCCTTTTTTCATCTAATCCTTTATTTATCTAACCCTTTTTTTGTTAATATCATAAACAAATGCAAGGAAAAGCAATTGAGAATATATTGTTTCTCAGCATTTGATCTTCCCAGGATATCAAGGATTTGAAGATCCAACGTATGATCTTCATAGACAACTTAAATTTTGTATTGATATTTTGTGTAAACTATATAACTAGTTTAATATTCTGAGTCAACATTGTATTTTGTAAATAAATTATTTTATTAATTTTCTGTGTAAACAATGTAACCAATTTAAATTTAAAAAGTACTAATAATTTACCCCTCAGTTTTATTGGTAAACCGAGATAAATAAGGCATTATTATTGTAAGTAATAAAAATGCAAACGGTGTGGATCGAACACATGGTCTATTAAAATACTCCTCATTGTTGTAAACACCGAGGTGATAAGTCATTATTTTTCATAATAACCTTATTTACCTCGCTTCAGATACCGAGGTAAAACGTAATTCATGTCCGATGTTAGATGTGTTATTTGTAGTAGTGAAGTATTATGAATGATCAACATAAAAAAAGATAATAAAAATCATCATAGGTCAAGAACCATTCTGTTGAATGTCATTTCATACAATAAGTATGAAAATATAACAAATAGAGACTCTGTGAAATCTATATTTGATTCTCTTTTAATGGCTCACGAAGTAAATAAAACCAAGGCTTCGGCCTTGATTCAAAAATATGAATCCTTCAAAATGGAAGTTAAAGAAATCATTGAGGATATGTTCCAAAGGTCTTAAACTCTTGTAGTTGTCTTAAAAGTCTTGAACAAAGGCTACACTACTGCATATCACGTGAAAAAGATCATCAGAATCTTACCAAAGTAATGGAGGGCAATGGTGAAGACACTTAAAGTATCAAATAATATGAACAATACAAATATGGAAGAGCTTGTTAGCTCTATAAGAAGTCATTAGATTGAGCTAGCAGAGGATGAGCCTCTAAAGAAAGGAAAGTGTGTCACTTTAATTTCCAAATGTAAGTCTGAAAAGACCAAAGCCTTTCAAGTAGAAGAAGAAGAATATGAAGTAGATTCTAATGAAGAAGATGGGGTATATTTGTTGTCAAGAAAATTTAACCAACTCTGGAGGAAAGACAAAAGAATTTTAGAGGTCACAAAATGACAAGTGGACGTTTTGAGTCAACCTCTAGGCAGAAGAAAGTTGGAGCTGACAAAGAAGTTATCTGCTATGAATTCAAAGAGCCTGGCTATTACAAGAATGGGTGTCCCAAAATTTCCAAAGAAAAGTTTAAGAAGAAGTTATTTAAAGATAAGGAGAAAGTTTGAATGACAATGTGGGACAACTCTGACTCTTCAGATGATGACTCTAAAGAAGAACAAGAAAATATGGCGCTAATGGCAAAATTAAAGGATAGTAACTCTAGATCAGAATCAGAATCAGACGCTGAATATGTATTTTCTCATCTACTTCATTTTGAACTCGAAAAATCCTTAACTAAGATTATTTAAAAGAATCAGAATCTTTAGAGAATATGCAAGACTCTAAAAAAATTTCTTGTAACACATTTTGAAGCCCATAGTGAGCTGATGAAAGAAAAAAATTTAAGAAAAAATTAATTGCTTTGGAAATAAAAACTATGCTCTGAAAAGAAAGAGTGATATTTTAGAAAAAGAAATTTTCATCAATGCTTCTATGAACTCTGAATGTACTTCAAAGAAGTATGAAACTTACTTTTAAAATTTTCTAGCTAGAGCCATAGATAGAAGTAAGACGGCTTCCATGATCTATGAAATTAGTGGAAAGTGAACCCAATGACGATGTTATTATAATTGACATCCCCCCTGAGATTTTGATTACGACTTTTACCAATCATATTGTTGGAATTGTGGAAAGTACATATCCCTCTTTTTTGGAAAAGGTACAATTCATATGACTATCTTAAATCTCGCGCAATCTTAACATCCACGATATAAGTTGTTGATTAAATTAATGACTATGTACTAGCAATGATACCAAATATTTTTAATACATTATAGCTAAGTTTTCAATTTAATTTACTCATTTATTGTTGTAACTAATATATAATTACATACTTTTTACGAGAAATAAAAGATTACTATAGCTCTAATTTCATTGACATCAATTTAAAAGTTCGCATGCTAGCTGAAGTTTTGTGTAATGGAACAAGGGTTATTGTAATAAAGATGATAAATCATGTCCTAGAAGCACATATTATGGGTAGTAAAGGACATGGAAAAGTTATCTACAATCCAATCATGAATATGTCTCCTTCACAATCTCCATGGCCATTCATATTAAACAAACGACAATTCTCAATAATTATATTATATGCAATGACTATTAATAAAGATCAAGGTCAATCGTTAGCCAAATATATATTGCATTATCAAGGATAGTAAGAGAAAAAAATCAAAATATTGATACATGATTAAAGTTAGAATTTCAAATCTTCTATCATAGATGTTATTTACAGAGAAGTATTCCGAAATATCTAATTGGTATGTATTTGTCATTCCATATTTCAACACCAATTTCATGCCAATATAATCTTAGTAACCAATATAATCATATTACCATAGCAATTTTCATTTGAAACTTTTGGTGATCATTACCTTAAAACTATGAAGATGTTATTGTTTTAGTTATGGTTAATATATGATCGCCATACATTTTTAACATTTGATAACCAATATGAAACTTAAGCATTTTTATATGTTGGAGAGTTTATATATAGAAATATTATTGATTTTATAATACATGTTATCAACTTTTAAATCAAAACAACATATTTATATTCGTTACTAGCTACCTAAGCTCAACTATATATGGATATGTGATTTTGTTCATAACTTTGAAAATTTATGATTTCCTTTCATTTACTAAACTGTGATTCATCTACTTCTATTTTGGATCCTATATAAACCCCTAGCACTTCATCTTTTTTTTTAGTTTTCTGCAGGTTCTTATCGACTTGAGTGGTGTTGAAAATGTTGTATTCATATTTTCTCAAGATTGTATACATGTATTCATGTTTATGTTGCACAATTAAATGGATTAACTAGGGGAAGTTAAATTTGAGATATACTAATGTCCAAGAATATATGCTTATGTCATTTTCTTTTTTATACAGGTTTTTCCAAAAAGAATAATTATATATTCTTATCCATAACATGTAGTAGATATACAAATACTACATAAACAACTTAATGAATTAACGTTTCCATGAAAAAACATAATTTTACAAAAGTTAATCAAACAAATTCAGAATAAACAACTGAGCTCAACTATTAGTGCAATAATTTAAGCAAAACAGACTAGAACCATACTTATTTTTAGATTGATACACTTCCTTCAAACCTCTTCACACAATATCATACTTAATCCTTCCACCATCTTCACCCAATATTGTAGTACCCCAATTTTTTTTGAATATTTAAAAATTTCCAACAAAAAAATGTGTAAAGTCTTTACTATTTGTTTGTTTTACATCTTTTTCAAATTTAGTAAAACAATTTCAAAAATAAAATAAAATTGAAGAGTTTATTCATTTGATTCTTTAATTGAGTTAAAATATATATTTTTTTTAAAAAGGTATGTGATAAAAGCTCTTAACTTGATTACTTCTAAATTTAATATCATTTTCATTTTAGAAATAAAAAAAATCCAAAAAGCTATTTTTGTTTCAATTGTTCATCATTAATTAGAGATATGTAGTTTTAAATTTAATTCTATTTAACATTACAGTTCTTCCCCTTTTAAAATTAAAGAATTAAAAAAAAAATTAAACATGAATCTTTCATTCTAAAAATAACTTTTGTATTAATGACATGATTTTTGTATTGTTTATTTCATTCTAATATAAAATTGATAAAAACAAAATAATTTTTTTTATTGTTTGGTTATTTCTAAATCTTCTCGTTGCCTCTTTTAAAATTACATTTTTTACATTGTTATTATTATATAATATCTTTACAGAAAATACACATAAGACAAAAAGAATAAAATTAAAAAATTAATTATTGTTATTACTAAGATACTTAAAATCAAACCGATTATCATGTATCTATAAGTTTAGGGTTTTAAGGTTTGACCGAGATTGAGTTCGAGTTGAATAAGTTATATATATATATATATATATAAAAAAGCAAGGGATATATTGAAAGAATACAAAGGATACTCGAACCTGGATAAAAAAATCGGCCAAAGTCTGAAAACAAGGAAAATTCCTAACCAACCAGAAAATTTAAACAGGCTCCTTAAAAAGTCGTATAAATTTATGTTGGAATAAGAACTTTTTCCCGATGCAAGCCCATCCCTATAGTAAAATCTTAATAGACCACGAAATATCTGAAACAATATATTTATCGTTGTTGAAAATGATATTGTTTCTCGTCTTCCAAATTGATGTAGTAAATGCTAGCCAAATTGCTGTAACTTCTAAAACTGCTACACCAATTCAAAAAATGCTTCCAAATATGCAATTCAAACGAACATTCAATCTCAATCCATTTTTCCACTTCTCCATAAATCCTCTTTGAAATATCACAGTTGAATAAAAGATGTTGAATGGTTTCTTCTTCCTGGGAACATAACATACACAAAATGCTATCCTGTAAACCCGTGATAATCCTCTTTCTCAATTGAATCTTGGTTGGTAACCTATCCAGAAAAGCCCTCCAACCAAAAGCTCTAATTCGAAACGAAACTGACATTTTCCAAAGAGAAACGAACCTCTCTTCCGATCCTTTCTCTAGATTCTCTCTATCTAATTCATCGCATAATCTTTTGTATCCCTCCCTAGTCGTATAACCTTCTTCCATATTTGGTATCCACAAGAAAGAATCAGGTTATGGTTTAATAATTGAATCATGTTCCATAACCTAAATGAGTTCTTCGATTCGACTGCAAAAAGTAACCGCAAAATCCATATACAACACGAAGTTTCCCCATACCCATGCGTTATCAAACCACTCGCCCGTATCCTTAACATTCCCATTCTTCTTAGTTTTCACAGCATACAGATCCTAGAAATTTATGCACAAAGGAGATTTATTGATCTAAAACGGAACCCTCCTTCCGTTTCCCACCTCAGTCTTGATATTACTTGCAAAATCACACACAGCTCTGACCCTATTTTTGACAACCATCATAATATCCTTCCACCACGTAGATTGATTCCACGATTCTCCATCTATCAATAGTACCAACATCCAGAAGGCAACGATCAATCCTGCTCATGGATTTCCTGTCTCTGCTAAACCAAGTGAATCTATTCCCTTTGTAAGGGATTTCAATCAAATTTAAATCTTTAATAAAATGTTTGAAATCCCTTATCTCCACCGATTTGTTAAAACCCATACTTATTATCCATTGGAACTACACCGAGATTATTGATAGTACTCTACAATCTTTCTCCAACACTGGATTCCTTACCTTCCCATCCCTCCCAAAATTTAAAGTTTCCTTTACAAATGTCCGAATTGGAGGTAGATCCACAACAAAGAACCGAACCACTTGAAAATCTCTCCCCTATAGACATACGAGAATCACCATTTTCTGAATCATTTTTGAAAGAGATATTTGGATTTCCTGCCACAAGCCTCAACTCATCATAATTCGCAGACTTGGCCTCATCCAAAATATCCATAACTTTCTTTTTCTTGGGTGGACCTTTTGGAACATTAATGGGCTTCTTAAGAACCATGCCAAGAAACGACCCATCAAAAGAAACAGGAGACACGTTCTGGGGAAAAATGGGGACCCCAAAACTAGGCCTATGTTGACAATAAACCGCCTTTGTTTTGAAAAAGGTGTCCACCAATACATTCATTTTCTTCGTGTTTTTTTACATACTAACTTTGCTAACGTGTTCTTGAAGTTTAATAGTGCAAGAATAACCCATAGCATGGCCCCCATAATGGCTAAACCAAAGCTTGCCATGTTTGCCGATTTGAGTTATTTTCTTTGTAGCTCACAAACCAGCTCGAATCAGCCAAAAATAACACTCCCATTGAAATCGCAAGGCTCGATTTAGGAGAGTAGGGTCCTTGGGAACCTCTAATACTTGTTGTTTTTGCAGGTCAAGAAAAAGACTCACCAGAGAAGATGACTGAAGCTAGGGCTCCGACACCTCTCCTGTCTAGGCAATAGTTTTATCTTATATTTAATTCGTTTCACTTATATCACCGGATGTATGGTCACCCCAGTGGCAAAGGCACACGCGTTAAGGCATTACTACACCAAGGCATGGGTTTGATCCTTGCCTTTTAGTGTTTTGAGCTTTTTTTCACCTTTTTTATATTTTATAGGTTATGATACAAAGCGCGCCGATTCCATTTTCAGGGTTTTTTTGGTTTCTAACCAATTTGTCGTTTTTTCCAACCCTAAAAACATTTAACCACAAAACCTTTTCACAAACCCTAATTAGGGTATAGTTTCTTTTTTAATTAACCTTTTTCTTAAATATAATTAATTAATTTTTAGTTTTTTCATCATTAACTTTTTTTAATTAATTTAATTAATCAATCTTTTCTTAAATAAAATTAACTAGTTTTTAGGTTTAGTTTTTAAATCACCATCAAAAACCTTTTTCTTTATTAAAAAAAAACTCCAATTTTTTTCCTTTTTCTTATTCTTACATTCTTTTTTTTTGCGTAGCTTATTCTTCTCGCATTTTCCTTGATTATGTAATTGCTTACGGGTTGTAATAGCTTAGAGTTTTTAATTTCCGCTTTTCTATTTTGTAGCTGCCCCGAAGAGATGTAATAGTTTAGGGTTTACTTTCCGCCTTTAATTTTAGCACTTTACATTTTTGTATCTTATATTTGTTATTACTTCTTAGTAACTAGGATTGTATGGCAAGATAAAACCAAACGCTAAAAAAACCTAACTACAAGATAAATAACTGAAAAACAACACACTCGTACACTTGCACCTCTCGGGTAATCTCCCTTGTTATCTTTCGATATATGGTCATGTCCCTCGAAAGTAGGGTCGCCTTAGCAAAGACCCTCGATCAAGTCATCATACAAAAAGATCATAGTCCCTCGATGACCCTTTCGATGTTGCCTTTCAGAAATGATTTAGTCCCTCGAGTTGCCTACAAATAAAACGATGACAGGAGCCTTACGAAAACTGATAAAGCATCCTTACAAGTTGTCTTTGATGACCGTACGATGACCCTCACCCGTCCCTTCATATCCAACAACATGGCTTCCTACCAACTAATGGTACAGATAGCACTATCTAAAGGAGGAGGAAAATTACAAGAACAACCTTGAGTAGGGTAGATACTATTAATCGCTTGCTCACAAAGCTCTTCAAAACAAAAACACTTTCACAAACATTTTCAATTTTTTTCGAACAAACGGTTTGTATACACTCTTACCGATACAAGAGAAATTTCAAAGCAATTTTAAAAGTGATTTAAGCGATTAAGAGCGCATAGATAACTACAGATGAAAAGGGTGCTAACACCTTCCCTTTCATAATCTACCCCCTGAACTCAAAATCTGTCAAGGTTTTTCCTGTTCTTTTCACCCTTTCATTATTGGATAAAAGGAAAGTCTTTGGAGACTCTTTCTATCTGCTACATTTGCAATAAAATGCAAAACCAAGTCAATTCTCCCACCATATTACAGAACTGGCGAATCTGCTTGAGATTTACTTAAAAGAGGGGTTACGTTAGATTTCTTTACTTGTCTGTTTTGATTGCTTTATTTTAATGGGTTTCCTGGGTTTATTTTCTTGCAAATATCCTACACCCGGATCTAGAGATACCTTAGGTAAGTAGCAATAGATCATGGAAACTGTACAGCGTAGACTGATATATTTGAAGGGATGGCTCCGTTAGTGTGACATTTGGTTTGTGCTGGTGTCCCTAGAATCAGTCAAGGAGAATACTAGGCTACCACGTGGTGTAATAAGCACTAACTGACCTTTAAAACCTTAATTGACCCATCTTGGCCATTAGAAGGTAGTGATATAACCAGATTTGGTGCAGTCCAAAATTGGTTGATACTCAATGCTACACTCATTGAGATTCGACTCTCGAGATATTTTTATGGTAAGTCAGTTGCTTTGCTAAAACAAACCCTATAAGAAAGATTGGTGATATGAGACTCCTAGAACCCAGTTACTATTCTTAGGACAGGTTGAGCCAACTAAACTTCAAAAGGGTATTTACCAACTACATGCAAGCCTTTAAACCTAAGGCTCTTGTGTGCTTTGTTTGAGTTTGCTATCTGTTCAAACATGACATCATGACATCATAACATCGCATTATCAATAACCATTTCAAGGATCTCAAAGGGCCTATGATGCGGGTTATCATGAACCAGACGTTTAGCAAGGGGAAAGAGAAATTATTTTCCTCTAACCAGATGTCTTCAAAGGCCAAAGTGCGTTCTTTCGAGTCAAAGGCTAAGACCCACTTGACATGGTAAGCTTGATTCTCATAGAAGGACGTTCAAAGATGCAAAGTTCTTCAGTTAAAGCTGCATTCATACTCAACTTCTAACATTTCGTTTTATTTATCCTGCGAGATCCTTGAAAATGTTGCATATGTATTCACATATCATACACATCATATCATAACAGGTTTTCCCAAGACAGGTTTTCTCATGTTCTTGATGTTTATTTCAGTAAAAGATGGCTCTCGAACAAACCGTGAAAGAACTTCAAGCTCAGAAAACTTAATTCCAGCAAATGTTCTTGGACTTAGCTAAAGGGTGGGAAGACTTGAAAGAACTTATCATCAAGGACAGAAAGAAGAAGACCAGAAAACCAGTCGCCATCCTCAATATGGGAAGAAGGTTCAAGGGTCCTCCCAAATAAGCTCAAAACTGTGATATTACCTCTGATGAAGATGACAATCAGGGTGAAGAAGATAAGAGTGTAAAGACTAAAAGAGGAAGTAACCTTGGGTCTGGTCAATATTCTGATGAAGAAGACTATTCTGCTGAATAGTATCCTCCTACTGATGATAAGTACAAACAGCTGGAAGATCGCTTGAATACCATGGAGATCCAGAGAGTGTCGGGATTGGATTTTGAAGAGTTGGGATTAGTCTCGGGGGTTGTTATCCCTCATAAGTTTAAGGTCCCTACTTTTGCAAAATATGACGGTATTTCTTGTGCTAAACTGCATTTAAGGTCTTATGTTCAGAAGATCCAACCCCATACTACTGATAGAAAGTCATGGGTTTACTTATTTCAAGAGATCTTATTAGGGACATAATTAGAATAGTTCTATCAGCTGGAAGGAACCAATATACGTACTTGGGAAGACTTGGCTGCTGCTTTTTACAAGTAATACCAATACAATGCTGATCTTGCACCAACTCGTGTGCAATTACAAATCATGACTATGGGTTCTCACGAAGGCTTTAAGAAATATACACAGAAGTGGAGAGATCTAGCTGGAAGAGTGCAACCTCCTTTGTCTGATAGGGAGCAGGTTGATATGTTCATGGGAACTCTGACATGACCTTTCTTTAATCATATGATCAGAAGCTCTTCATCTAGTTTCACCGAGTTGATATTGACCAGGGAACATGTTGAAAGAGGAATTAAAAGTGGAAAGATTCAAGTGGCTGCATCTTCAAGTACTGTAAAGAAGACGTTCAACAGTAAGAAAGAGAAAAATGTTGTGTATGGCCAGAAGGGTCGTGCTAGAAGTGACTGGAACCAACCTGTGGGGGCATTTCTAACCTCTAATCCTGCGCCTGTGCAACAACAACAACCTGGAAATCAATGTAGGTCAGATGCACCGAGAAGACGGTTTACCAAGATCATCATGCCATTGTCTCAGGCATTACAAC